TATTTTGAAAGTCCGTTGCTCACTGGCTCTGAATACACATAAGCTTACAGTCAAACCATGATCACAGGAGGGGTGGGATGTTGGTCAGCCAGCAAATAACCCACCCAAACAAGCAGTGGAGAGGCTTTGGCAGGTTCTCTCAGGTGAACAGAAAGGGAGACACCGCTCCGCGAGTGAATGACAGGCGCTCTATGGATAGTAACCATGGCAACGGCTTCTGTGCGCTACGCAGCTGTAGCCTTTTTAACTTAAATTAAAATTAAACATAACTTTACCTGATAGGCCTGCATTTAGTTTAGCGGGGATGCTCTGCCATGTGAATTCCCTCCTGTTGATGTCCTGATAACTATTTAGATTCTGGAAACTCACAAACAGCGAGCCGAGGATCAGTCTCTCTTCCAATAATTTGTGCTGCGCGTCGTGTACAAAAAGTTAGGCTTTTCAACTTCGGCAACGCGCGGGCGCGTGCGTGAGGCGAGCATGACTACAACAGTTTCACACGAACGCACCCGCTTGTCGCTACACCTGTGCTCGACCACTTCACCTCACTCTTGTCTTGGCTGATTTATACTTCTGCGTTGAACTCACGCCGTAGCTGTGTAGCGCGCGTACCCTGACGTGCATCTCTCCAAAAATGTAACGTCAATTCTACGCGTACTGCAAGCGCTGTGATTGCTAGAACCGCTCCCCGGGTTTCACACTCTCCCTCTGCATGTGTAATTGCGCATCAACGCGGACAACGACGCAGATATAAATGAAAACCAACGCATAGTCTATAGCGTAGAGGCTCCGGTTTAATGTAATCTTACGTGGGAAACCATGGCATGCCATGACCAAAAAAAAAAAAAAAAAAAAAAAAAAAAGATCATGACCCTTTGACTACATAGACTGTTTCTGCTGCTCCCTGATACAAAATACCTGTTCAGAAGAAAAAAAAGAAAAAAAGAAAAGAAAACTGGACTCGTTTTAACAAGCTAGATAAAAGGTAATGCAGTGGCAAATAGCTTTGTTTAAATATTTGATTTGATTACGTTAATGTTTAAATTGAGATTTACAATAAATATTTTATTGATACTGTGTAAAGGGAATACTGCTGGTATAAAAGCACCTTATTTGTTTAAAGTTTTTGCAAACCACATGTTATTGCACTTTTGTAGCAGTACATTTAAATCAAAAGTGCACAATACACTACTTTAGAATTCATTATTCAATTTTGCGCGTAACAATGCGATTAATCGCCATTAATCGCAAGAAAATCATGCGATTAATCGCGATTAATTTTTTAATCGTTGCCCAGCACTAGTAAAAATGTTATTTTAGTATTATGTATATATTTTTTATTATTTTAAATTTCATTTTATTTTGTTTAATTATTTTTGTACTGTGCTTTGGTCTTTTTATGAGGTTTTCGTTCTTTTTAAATATTAATATTGAGGTTCAATTTATTTTTATTTCAGTTTTAGTTTTTATTTCCAGGTTTTTTTTATTTGCTTCAACAAACTTATATACAGTTTATATAAGTTTGTTATATACCCCTCCCCTCCCCTCCCCTCCCCTCGTAGACTGCAACGTTATTACCACTTTCAAGCCCCAGAAAGGTAGTAAAGACATTGTTAAATAGTCCATGTGACTACAGTGGTTCAACCTTAATTTTATGAAGCGACGTCACAAGAATACTTTTTCAGATCAGATTTCATCAAAAAATATCTCAATTTGTGTTCCAAAGATGAACAAAGGTCTTAAGGGTTTAGAATGACATGAGGGTGAGTAATTAACGACAGAAATTGGTATATAATAACCCTGTTTCATTAACCCCTGATACATTTTTTAAAAATACCTTTCCATAACCACCTTTCCCCAACACACGGAGAAGCTCGAAGCACTCTGGACGGATGTTCTCAGTGCCTTGGTTCACATTATCCTCCGATATCTCAATCTTCTCACAGTCGTCCATGTTACTATAAGAACAAAACAAAAATGACAATGTGCATTATTCCAATCGTCAGCATTAGAATATTGATGTTGAATGTTTTTTTTTTCAAGTGTAATCTTTTTTAGAATCTGTCAATCTGCAACTTTTTAATTGCAAAAAATAATGTTTTAATTGCAACCACTAAATATACTCACAATTCAAAGCCACTGCACTGATCCATTATAAGGTCATTGATCTGAGCCTGCAGAAGAGAAGCATTAAATGCATGATCAATAAAAGCTCAATTCACTGCAATGGTGAACAGCGTTATGTTGGGTGGAGAGATGATCAGTAACGTTACACGGAGAGATAACGTTACGAGGCAACAGTTGGCAGCACTTCTAGTCTGAACATGAAAACGTAAGGGATCGGATTTCGCAATACTATTCCCAGAGATCCCATAAAGGTGACATGCACCATCTATGGCGTTGCAACTCCTAATTGACTGATCCTAGTACATATTACAAGACTTATTAAAGTCAGTAAACGATTTAAAGCGATATGCATGCAAAAATAAATATATCTAAGGTGTGCTGCACTGCAACATCCCATGTGAAAGGCAACACGTCGTACGTCCAGCCCTTTAAATGGCCTTAACTGTACACTGTACTGTCAAGTAGTAAGTTTAAATACAACCCTATTATCTCCAGCTCCTATCTTCGACTAGTACATATAAGACACATTTCGGGTAGTAAAACTCTGACATCTCTGACACATGTGCTGACATGCAGAATATCAAAGTTATTCAGTACACAAAACACACTGTACGTTAATCGTGTTAGCCTGTTAGCATAACATAAAGCAGCCTGACGCGTATTCCTCGGGCCTCAGGCCTGCACACTCTGCTCGGGGTGGAAGACACTCCCGCGTGCCGTTTACTTCAAAACCGGTCGGCCGTTACCTCCTCCAGCTCATCATCGGAGACATTTTCCTCCGGCTGGTCCAGATCGATGTCGAAAACGCCAGCCATCGTTGATTTCGCTGTCTGGTATCACTTCACACCGCGTGAGGAGCTCGCGCTTCCCGCCTCATGGACATGAACGCACAGTCGCCATGACCGGCATGGACGCGCAAACTGACTGACGACACCCCCGCGCGGAGGAATGCGGGAAAATACCATTGACTGTGGAAAATACTCTCGCTCGCCTGCAAACTGTTTTTATGTGTAGGCAGCTGTCAAAAAACACGTCAAATAAATAAGTAAAAACACAATATATATAGTACTGGTCAAAAGATTGGAAACATTAGCCTACTATTTTTATTGTTTTTGAAGTCTCTTATGCTCATCAAGCCTGCATTTATTTATCAAAAAACAGAAAAAACTGTCATATTGTGAAATATTATTACAATTTAATATACTTTAAAATATAGTTTATTTCTATCGTACAAAGCTGAATTTTCAGCATCATTACTCCAGTCTTCGGTGTCACATGATCCTTCAGAAATCATGCTTTTTTTCAGGATTCGTTGATGAATAAAAAGTTCAAAAGAACAGCATTTATTCAAAATAGAAATCTTTTCTAACAATATAAATCTTTGCTATCACATTTTATCAATTTAACACATCCTTGCTGAATAATTCATTTCTTTAACAAAAAGAAGAAGACAGAAATAAACTTCTGATCCCAAACTTCTAAACGATAGTGTATATTGTTGCAAAAAAAGTCTGCTTTAAATAAATACTGTTCTTTTTAAAAAATTGTATTCATCAAAGAATCCAGAAAAAATAAAAAAAAAATATTAAGCAGCATAACTGTTGCCAACACTGATTCCTGAAGGATCAAGTCACACTGAAGACTGAAGTAACTTATGATGCTGAAAATTTAGCGTTGCATCACAGAAATAAATTATATTTTAAAGTATATTCAAATAGAAATCCATTATTTTAAATTGTAATAATATTTCACAATATTACTTTTATACAAGTAATATTACAAGTAAATGCAGGCTTGATGAGCAAAGGAGACTTCTTTCAAAAACATAAAAAATAGTAATGTTTCCCAAACTTTTGACTGGCACTGTATATATTTGTATGTACATTTCAAACCAAGAAAGCTTTTCTTGTCATGTGTGTGTATTTATATTATTATTATAACCCTGAATCAAAAATACAAATTTTCACGTTTCCTCAAATTCACTGTAATACAAATAATTAAATACATTAATTAGAATTAATAAATATTAAAAATATATAAATACACTCTTATTATTGTAATGCAATATACAAAAAAAAAACAAATTCAATTACTTATTACTTACATTGCAATGGTATTATTTTAGAAAAAAAAGTGCTTGTAAAAAATATAAACAAATATTATTATGAAAAAAATATTATTTATCTAATTTTCAGTTTGATTTTGGGGTGAAATATGACCTAAACATGTGCTGCGTGCGTTCACGCCATATATTAATTACCGTAGTGTCATTAGACAACATAAAAATTTTATATCTGGCTTGATATGACAACATGTGACATTCTATTCGGAGCTGATCGAATTTCTATGGCTACACCAGTGGCTACACCATAGATAGACTGTAAAAAAAATAGGGCTACACACAACGATAAATGGTACAGCGGTCACGTGGTACAAAGTAGGAGCTCTCAGAAAAGTATTTTTACAAGTTGAAACCTCGAAATGAGTGATTTCAACATGGCTTAAAACGCAGTGTTTTCGTGACATCTACCATAGTACCCCTAGTACGCAAGTAGAACAAGGATGCCCACAGAAGGTATGTTTTGTGCGCCATCTGATGGTTGTAGAGATGTTTTTCACTGTAGCTCTCACAGTCCCATCATGCATCAGTTCCGACGGGTGCAAAACTGCTCCCGCCTTCAACTGTAGGCACAAATTCTCTTCTTTTACTTTGTAAAAGTTTTTTTGTAAAGTAGTGACTTAATGCTACTTGATATTGTGTATTTCATAGCTTTGTTTCGACTCTCAGTAGAGTAAACTGACATCCAGGCAAGGAATTTGTCACATTGAGTAAAGAGGTAAATGTTACTATAGCTACGCGTTTGGGGAGTTGTGTACTCACATAATGCTATGAGACCGTGTGAGACGTTTGTCGTATCGTTTAATGGGTAATGTGGACAGATAGAGCCCGTTGATAGATGTCGGTTGTAAGCTTACAGTTGGGTCAGTGTGGGAATCAGATCGGACACGAGCTCTTCAGTGTCATAAGCGATGACTCAAATGGACCGAACAGGAAGAAATACAAGCAATGCAGCGATGAGAGATTCTTTTATGAAAGCTCCACTGGAGGTAGGTTCAACACAACTCACTGATGTTTTCTAATACCTCTGTAATATGATATCTATTAAGTTCCCAATGTTTATGTATTACAGAACTTGTGGCACGGTCAGTACTTGTTGATATGGAACCCAAGGTTATCTCTCAAGCAATAGCCAAGGCTTCAAAATCTGGAAGATGGAGGTATGGAGACAAAGCACATTTCTCCCAGAAGCAGGGCTCTGGAAACAACTGGGCAAATGGGTAAGAAGAAAGCTCTTAGTTTGAGCTCTTAATGTTTTTTCATTTGTTTTTTTTTCATGTGTGAGTTCAGTTTACTGTTCTTCTCTGAAGGTTCTGTGTTCATGGACCACGTCATGAAGAGGCAGTAGAGGATATGGTGCGGATGGAGATCGAGCGATGTGATCGTCTTGCAGGGATTTTCACCATGATGAGTGTTGCAGGTGGCACCGGTTCTGGTGTGGGTACCTACATCACTCAACGTTTGAGGGACTTATACCCCCAGTCCTTCATCCTAAATCAAATAACATGGCCCTATGGAGCTGGTGAGGTAGTGAGCTTTTTGTATTTTAATGTATCATTGATGTAGTAGCAGTTGGGTCATTGACATGACAATTGTTTTTGTAGGGATCTATTAATTTGTTCAGAAATGCCTTAAAATGTACGTCATATATTCAATGATTTGAATAGACCTTATATTTTAAACATGTTTTTAATTTATGAATTAGAATTAATTTAGATTTTTATTTTTTTGTCAAAGTCAAAATGTCAGGGTGAAACAACTGTCATGACATCATAATGAAGAAAACAGCTTTGTTAAAAGAATGAAAGTCTTGAAAAGAAAAATTGAAGTATTTTAGCATAGTCAAGGCTCAATGCTAAAGGCCAATTTATACTTCTGCGTCGGGTGCGCGCAGTAGGTACGGCGTAGCATACGCACAGACGCGTACCATACGCCGTACCCTTCGCCGTAACCTGACGCGCACCTCCTCAAAAATGTAACTACACGTCGCGACGACGCGGACCGCAAGATCTGTGATTGGTCGGCTTGGGAGCATCGCGTTTCCTCCTATGTATTTCCGGCGTGTTCTTCTGCACCGCCCGCCATTTTTAAATTCTAAGTACAGCGAAACTGTTAAAAAAACAAAAAAATTACCTTTTCCACCTCGATAAGCTCCAACTCCAACATGATCTGCTCTCTTTCAGTCGACATTGCTTGTAGTAACCTAAACTCAAAACAGCCGCGAGGAATCTTCTTCTTCTTGCCGCGAGGAATCTAAACACAGTGGAACATTAAAACCCTCCGCCGCCAACTAGCGTTTCGGCGCTGTACTGCAGAGCAACGCAGACCTAAACGCAGAAGTATAAATGCTCATGACGGCGTCGCCTACGTCGCCTTTGTACGTAGCTACACTACGGCGTACACTCGACGCAGAAGTATAAATTGGCCTTAAGGCTACTAGGATACTTGCCAAGATGGGCATTTTGATAGCCTGGTTAAAACCAGACCATTCTCAGTTGTAACTGAGTTATGGTCTGGCAAAGCGTCATAGACAAATCATTTCCAGAGGGGCGTCACCAACGGACTTTGCGGATAGACCTAAACCCAATCAGAGCGATGAAGGAGATGACGTATGCAGAGCGGCAGTGTTGTTCTTTGCTCGGTTTTTAACAAAAAGGAAACGTTCAAATCGCCTTAAACAGACGCGATAGCTGATTCGAACGAGTGATGTTCGACGGCGGCATCCATCTTTGTAATGTAGGCTACAAAATCTGCTTCAAAATCCCAGCGCTGTCGTCATCGTGTAAAACGTTTCTGATTGGTGCCTCGATTTCGACGGATTGGAAATGGCCTTGAATGAGCTCTTTGCCAGACTAACTTTCAGAACAATTCTAAATTTTCCGGAAGTTGTCTGGGTTTTCCCAGGCTAGCATTTTGACATAATTTTGTGTGAATTTGTCCATTCAAGCGCAAGAAGATGTGAGAGAGAACTCAGTTCAGCATTCGCACACTGTCTTGAGATTTTCTTCCATGCCTGCTTTCAGACTAATGGAAAGAAAACATCCAAAATAAAATTAAGTGTTGATTTTATTGCACAGTCAAGTACAGTACAGTTATATTTACATACTCCAAACTTTACAGTTTTATTCTTATTTATGTTGTAACTTTTTTTTACACAGTGATTTGTTCATATATCATTCACCTGATTTATATTCCTAAAAACATGGTGAATTTACAGTATTTTCTGATATATGGAGTGATAAAAATAGATCCCAAATCCCCTTCTGTAAGAACCTTTTACTCTAATATGTAAAAAAAAAAAAGATTTTTAAACTTGGCTTCATCCAATGTTCAGATGTCTGTTCTGGAAATGTATGCAAATTAGTGCATATTTAATTACATAATGATGCATTTGCATATTTAAACAACATTTTAGAAAACTTGTCTTAATGTACTGATCAATCAACTGGGGAAGTGTGGTGTCTTGTCTTGCCATGCCATCAAAACTATATTAAACCAACATTAATACAAAGAGTATATTTCTAAGAACTTGGCACACAACTAGATTTTTTCCTTTTCTTTATCATGGACACTCATATTTGGCATTGATCCTTATTCTAATCACTGTTTTTGTGATTCTGTTTTCCTTTCCAGGTGATCGTGCAAAACTACAACTCTGTGCTCACGCTGTCACATCTCTACCAGCTCTCTGATGCTATTCTGGTTCACGAGAATGACACTGTGCACAAAATCTGCAGCCATCTGATGAACATCAAACACATGTCCATCAGCGACATTAATAAGGTGATCGCTCACCAGCTGGGCAGTGTGCTTCAGCCCGCTTATACTGCTGATTCACCCTGCCATTACAACAGAAACCCCATAGGTACAAATACCTCACAGTTCACGTCCAATTTCAGAGAGTCATCAGGCAAAAATGACATTCCTTTACCAGTGTTTATCTGCTGTCTACAGGGGAATTACTGAGTTCTCTGGTGTGTCACCCTGAGTACAAACTGCTCAGCTTGAGTAACATTCCTCAGATGTCCAGCACGTCTCTGGCCTACAGTGTGTTTAACTGGCCTGGTCTACTCAAGCATTTACGTCAAATGCTCATCGCCAGCGCTAGGATGGAAGAAGGTGATGTCACATACTGTATTCATGTAATATTAGGAAGGATGCTTTATGTACGACTCATAACAGAAGAAATGCAAAATATTACTTCATTAATGGTTTTGTGGAACTAAAATGCTTTATTTTTGAAAGGAATCGACTGGACAGTAAACGTCACATCTGGAGGAGAGAGCGTGACAAACAGTAGGCATAAAAGTTTCAATTCGTCACTTGCTAATCTTCTAATACTGCGGGGGAAAGACGTATCTACTGCAGTTACAGGCAAGTAGCCCTTTAATGTACTTCCATCCATTAACAAGCATTTTTAAAGGTACACTGTAACTTTTGGCCCTCTAGCAGTTAAAAAAAAAAAAACTGCTTGCATTTTGCGGAAGAACATTGTTTTGGTTGTGCTTCAGCTCTGCGGGACTGTGTGGATGAACACGGTTATCCTACTGTTCATAAAACATTCACTACTAGGCTTAAGAGATATAACCAGTTTAGATGGAAAGGATCTCAAGCTGACTGAAGAGCTTTACCCATTAATAGACACGGTACTTTCTTGAAAATAAATTTCAGCACTACAACAACCATAATGAAATGAGCATTCACAATAGATAATGCTTTACAATGAACTCTGTTAGAGAGCTACATTTGGCAATTTATCTGTAGGATAAAATACTTTAACTGTTGAGTAATAAAAACGCCATCTCCGTGTCGCTTTTACAACATTTCAAATCCCTCAGTTCATGCCATCTCTGAAAAGCCAAGCCAATGTTGATTCTTGTGTTAATATAAGCTCTGTCGCGTTCTCTTTTTGCCAGCGGACTCTCCTCTGTTCAGAGTTTGTTTTAAACTCGGAGGTTCGAGATTTAGCTGCTCCATGTCGACCTTTAGGCCGTTTATGCCGAGTTCAGACTGCACGATTTTCAAAGTAGTCGGGTCACTGCTGCTGTGTTCACACTGAACAATGGCTCGGCGACAGGAGGTTTCACACTGCATGACTTTACAAAAGAAAGTATCGCCGACAACTTCTGCCTGGTCCACAAACTACGTTTCACAACCTAACACACGCGAGAAGTGATAAGGAAATAACGCAAGATCATGCGTGCGTGAGACTCAAATTGATATTAAAAATGATAGCCTGCAAGAAGCTTGCGATCCCAATTGACCGTTCGCAAAAGCCACGTCCCCTAGTTATTGTTACTATGCCCATCAAACAATTGAGAACCAGACACATACCCATGGCTGGGTTGAGCTCCATACCTATTGGTATAAGTGATTGGTTTTGGAGTAATGCAGCAGACATATCCTCCAGGGCTGCAGAAAGGGATGCAATATGCAGCGGAGGGACATGTCCAAAATGTTAAAATAAGCAAAGACGGGAATATTACAACAATCGAGGCAAAGGTGTACTGGTCTCAGTCCAAGAATGAGAAACCTCACGACCTCTTCTTGCAATGCAACCAGCACAGCCTTGTGGTAACAATGCTAGATGAAACCACAACTGTTAAGTTCAGTTTTACAGATTTTAAAACCTCCAGTGACCGTCAACCTCTTGCTAAATTATCTCCGTCGATAGCAATATGTGCTCGACAGGCTAACAGCTACCTTACAGGCTGCCTGAATTTCCTACGGAATAATAAAGTATCTAATGTTCTAACTTTACTACTTTCGATAATAATGCTATATAGAACCACAACTGTTAACTTAAGTCCAGTTTTACAGATTGTATGTACTTAGCTACTTAAACTACTAATTGATATGCTAACTAAGTTAGCTCGCTAGCTTTACTTAACTTAGAGCAGACATATGTGGGTGATTCTCACGAAAGCTTGGTTTTAAAAATTTCAAACATGAAAATTAAAAAATGCTTGAATTAACAAAAAAACAATTCAGACATTAAAAACAAAGTCTGGAGAATTTGTGAACATTAATTTAAAAATATTTACTTACAATTTAAGACCTTTTTGAGCATAATTTCCAAAACAAGTCCCAAAAAATCTAATTACCGCAACAGTCTGAAAACATCAACACTGTTAGAAAATAAAATAAATTTTCACATTTTTAAAAATGGATTATTAACAGTCATGCACAGTTACTTAAAAATCTGAAATAATATTTATTTTTAAATTAGCATTATTTAAATTTTTTGTTTATTTCTCTCATTACCGCAACACCTTCCACAATTTACAACCTTTTTTTATATATATTTTAATGAAACCTGACACATTTTCAAAATGATGTGACAAACCTGAAAGAACATAATGTGTAGATACTGTACACACATTTAAAAGTAAACTACAAATTTTATATTAATTAAATTAACATTTAATGATCATCTGTTGCGGTAATGAAACATAGGTTTTGGAAATGAGGTTGATTATTTCGGTAATGATAATAAGTTTACTATGTCTAGATTTAATGTAGAAAAATGTATAATATATGCAAAATCATGGATTCAATTTCAAATCTGTTTTATTTTGTAGTGCTTCAATATATAACATTAGCAACAACAACAACAAAAAATACAAAAATAAATAACTTTAATATTCGTAAAACAATAACTTATAACTTTAATATTTGTCAAAGTGTTTCAGAGAGGGAAAAACCTCTTCATTCTTCAACCTCTTCATAAGGTAAATGCCTACTGTTGGAAACATTTGTCAATGTATACACCTGGCTGCACAGAATAGATGATTAGGAGATGAATGAAAGGAAAATATTGCCAAAAAAGAAGATGAGAAAGTATTTACAACATAAAAAGTTAGTTTTTACTGAATCTTTCTTTTTAACGAATGTAGAGGGAATAGTATAGCTGTTCTTAAATACAAATACAAGCATCCACTACATTACATGAGCTTGGCATTTACAATAACTCATTTTGATTTGGTAGGCTAATTGGATAAATAGTCTAATTCTTAGGATAAGGAGAAAAAGAAATGCAAAATCATTGCACAAATGTAATTGTGCCATGTGCACTGTAAAACCTAACAGTAATATGTACTAAATAGAATTGAGTTCACTGCACTCAAATATTACTGAAACTTGAATGACTGAAACAGAACTCAAACTGAATGAGTTATAGAACATTTCTAGATACCAGAATGATAATTGAATAATAATTGTATAATTAAGTGGTGATTGAGCATTAGTGATGAACACCTGCTGTTAACAAGCAGAATCACCGAAGGAAAAGAGAAATACAAAAACTACAACTGACTTTCAGCCACAGCCTTAGATGAAATCAACTGAAGATAAAAGATGTTAAACCTCTGAAGATCTCAACAGAGGAGGATTAAACAACTCCACAAACAGCATTACCAGCTTCACTTATTATTAACCAGTTTGACTTTATTACTGCCATTGGTCTACAGAAGTTCTTATTAGAAATAACAGAGGTTTAGAAGTTGAGGATTTGAGTTTCGTTTAAGGTCACCATGATGGAGATCGGCGTTTGCTTTAGTTGTGCTCTTGTCCCTTGACTTTTGCATACAAGTTTGTCTTTGGCTTCTGTAACAGTGTTTATAAAACAAATATGGCACAAAAGTCAAGGGAAAGTATGAATGGGTGTTGATTGTTAAAGATTCATGATGACAATCATCATTTAGTGACGTGATTCACTGATCTCATTCAGAGACTAATCTCTGATTAAAAGGGCAACATTACATTTGTTTTATTCAAAACTGTGATTCTACAAGTAAGTGAGACTGTTGTGACTAGGGCTGTGCGATATGACGATATATATCGGATGGACGATATAAAAAGCCTATCGTTTCATATTATGCCATATCGTTTATATCGTGGTGTCGCAAAAAAACATTGTTTACGGCAAAAATTTGGATGACTGCAATCTTTCACGCCACCATGGGGATGCAGGCAGAAACGTGAATAACAGCATGAATGAAGGGGTGACAGAACCGGGTGTTTCCGAGCAGGAGAAGAACCAGCCAGAACAAACCGAGGAGCTCGTTCCTAAACGAGGGGCTAGATGGTTTGGTTAACTTTCTATTTGTTGTATTGACCATTTTAGGGTGGTTTGGATAAATAAACGCCAGTCTCAAATAGAGGCCTGGTCTGTTTTTTAGTTTCGGTTTGTATTTAATCTTCTAAAACCCGTCAGATCGTCTGTTTAAACCAGTTCTGTGGTGCAGATTGCGCGCATCTGGGCGGAGTTGTTAGCGCAAGCAGAGTTAGCGGAGGCCGGAGAGAGAAGGAGATCGTTTTAAAGGGTATAGCCTTCATTCTTTCTTGTTGATGTGTTTCGGGCAACAAGTTCATAGGCTCGATGGATATTACCAGTAATGTATTGTTCAGCCCATGGCTGTCACATCGTTTCGTTTTTTTTAATTCTGCCAATAATCTAAAAGCTATGGTTATAGTAAATGTACAATTATCGTTATGTATATACTGACTTCACCCTGTGCTGCAACATACATTTAGTTGTACATTCATTTACAGAAATCAGCTGGTTGAATTCAAATTGATGCTGTTATTATCGGATTTTCAGGTGATATTCCCAATTCATTCAGTTAACGGACGCTCTGAGGTAAAGTGTTCAGACTGCAGACTAAGCAACGATTGTATTTAATTGTACAGTACTATCATAACATAGTACAGACATGATCTTAATTCCATAATGTCCTTAAACATAACAATTTGCTGGCCATAAACTGACAGCGCGTGTCCGGTGTGCGATACCTCGAGTTGCTATAGACACGGCGCGCGCGCTTCTCGTCCGGTGAGCGACCCCCTTTAGACATAATAAAGTAGCCTAGGCTAATTCTTAGATTAACGGATTTGTTAAACACAATTATAAATAAAACGTAATCTTCGTTATCTCAAGGCCTACACTAAATGAAAGGCCTGTCTCATAGACGCCTGCCTCAAATACAAGCCGGTGCAGTTCGGCGATTTGGGAAAATAAAAGCCCGGGCTATTATTTGAAGTTTTACAGTATATCGTGATATATATCGTTATCGGGATATGAGATGACTTCTATCGTGATATGAGATTTTGGTCATATCGCCCAGCCCTAGTTGTGACCATCAGATATTATGCAAGACTTTACAAACAGTTTGTGCAGAAAAAGTTTCACAGAAAATGTATTGAATTACCAAGACTCACACAGACATCAAGAATCCGCATATGAATCTCAACAATGGTGACCATTAAAAAAATGACTCATGCTGCAATGCATGCTGGGTACTAGCATTATACAAAACTTATCCATGGCTCCCAGCATGAATTATTCTTCTAATGGTCACCATTGTTGAGAATCA